CATGTGAATCTCTCTAAATGTAGAATATAAATGTTTTAACACAATAACTAAGAAAAAAACATGAAGGCTATAATTAACCAGTTGGATGAAAGTATTTCAAATTGTATATATAAACAGTACACTGTACTCCATGATAGTATTAATGTACACAGCTATGATTTAATAAAAATAAATAAAAATTTAAAAAATAAACTCTCTTACAATATTTTGCTCTCATGCACATAAGTTCAGAAATATTCCAAGTATTTAAAGAAAATCCCACGACACTCAAAACCTCCCCACCTGATCTCCCAAAAAATCCAATTTGGGTTACTTGTATTCTATTGCAAAATTTCATTTATTTAGCATTTAAGACCTGGGTCATTTGGACATGTCAGTTCAAGTTTACTTCAGCATTAATTTTGAAAAGATGAGCTTACTTTCTTTTTTTTTTTTTTTTGCAGTTTTTGGCCAGGGCCGGGCTTAAACTGCCACACCAGTATACAGGACGGTGCCCTATTCCTTAAGCCACAGGCAATGATAATGAGAGCTAAGCCTGAGGCAACCTCCCCAAAGTCACAGGGTGACGTCTGTGGTCACCAAGGCAGTGAATGCGGCTTGGGGTTTCCTTTACCTTTTCTATTAAGTTGCATCAAAATATCCACTTAAGTTCTTCCATTTGTACCATTCCTTCAAATAAAGAAATTAGGTACCTGCACCCCCCCCACAAAAAAAGATGAGCTTACTAAGTAAATGAAAATATAACCCCTCACATCAAAGAGGCTTTTGAAGCTAGTCCCCTGCCTGACGCATGAATGCTGGACGACCACCCAGTGATGCTGTGCTAAGAACCCGCAATACACCAGCACTGCACCACACCACACCCACACCGCACCCACACCGCACCATACACGCACCCACACCGCACCCACACCACACCCACACCGCACCATACACGCACCATACACGCACCCACACCGCACCCACACCACACCCACACCGCACCATACACGCACCGGAGCACACCCCACACCACACATCTCACAGCCCGCAATACACCAGCACTGCACCACACCGCACCCACACCGCACCATACACGCACCATACACGCACCATACACGCACCCACACCGCACCCACACCGCACCATACACGCACCATACACGCACCGGAGCACACCCCACACCACACATCTCACAGCCCGCAAT